AGTCTAGCCTGTTTTAAGTTTTCCCTCCTCTCTACTGGAAAAAAAATAAGATTAATGAGAGATTTGCTTCAGGAGCTGGAGTGATAGTATGGTGGGTGGGGCATTTGCCTTGCACGTGACCAACCCAAGTTCGATCCTCAACATCCCATATGGTTCACCCAGCACTGCAAGGAGTAATTTCTGAGTGCAGAGCCAGGAGTAAGCCCTGAACATCATCAAGTATGATCACAAAAGCCAGAGAGACAAAGAGAAAGAGAAAGAGAGAGACAGAGAGAGAGAGACAGAGAGAGACAGAGATTTGCTTCAGATCATGTATCTGGGATGAAGTTCTCTTGGGAGGCAGTACATAGCACTGGATGACTCCCTCCCCACTCGGCTCAGGCCTCTGTGCTCCTGACACTCTCCATCAATGATGACAGGACGCTGGGACGCCAGGCTGGGGCCATGCTCTTGCCCTGCACATGCTCCCGGGTGCCTAAAGCCATCACAGCTCTCATCAGTGGAGTTTTCTTGGGGTGCCAAAGTGGCAATGGAGGAAACTAAGGCTCTAGAATTTGTGACTTGAGCCCCACAACCAGTGGGAAATATCTCCGGGCACCAACTCAGACCTCCTGACTCAAACCTGAAGCCATTTGGGGGAGAGGGGGTTATTTTGTAACTTGGGAGCCACACCCAACAGAACTCAGGGCTTCGTGCTCAGGGGATCACTCCAGGCAGTGCTCCAGGGAACCATATTTGGTGGTGGGGATTGAAGGCAGACGTGGTGCATGAAAAGCCAGCGCCTTAACCACTGTACTATCTCTTTGACTCCAATCCTCATGCAGCAGGCCCTGACCATCTGCAGAGAGCCTGCGACCTCCAGGAGCTCTGGAAGAAACAAAGTCTTCAGCTCTGCACCCCGCCTTCCCCAGTCTGGCGCCTTGCTCCCTCCCTAGCATCCTGGTTGGTGTGGTCCTATTCAAGCAATCATGGCTCTCTTCACACCTGACCCTTTCCCCATCCTCCCTGCCTCCCTCCTTCTGGCTATCCTTTGAGAAACACCTGTGCTATGGCCACGTCCAACTGGCTCTGGCTGGGCCCCAGGTGGGATGGAGGTTGTTGGGGTTTGTTTTGCGTCTGGTTTGAAGCCAGACACAAAGTGTTTCCTAAGTGTCTGCTGACCCGTGTGTATGCAGCGGGTGTCAGAAAGGCAGGGAACGAGGGCTGGCAAGAATGGCTGGCTTTTGTCACATGCTCTGAGGCCCAAAAATGCCATCACACTGCCTGTCTCACGTTCTCCACCCAGGGTGGTCGCCCCTGGTTCAGGACACTGAGGTTCCCATGTGAGTTCACCCAGCGAGGAAGGGGAAGACCTGGGATTCCGGCCTGTCCGTCCCTTCCCAATTATCCAATTCAAAGAACTCAGCTACATCCAGAAGGATGCTGAGGAGAAGTCACGAGAGGCACAAGCTTGCCTGAGGTCACGCCATCCACACCCATGTCCTGTGTGGCCTTCCCCAACTCAAACAGGAAATGCCCAGAAGGGTGACACCCAGGAAGAGGGTCCTGAGTGGGGGAGACGTGAGTGCTGCCCACGTCTCTCCCCATCACCTCCTTCCCATTTGTCCCAACCGGAATGTTTCAATCTTGTACTTCGTATTTACTCTGAAATGGCTTTCATCTGACTTCCCCCCTTGCTCAGCAATTTAGCTGTCAGAGTAAATAAATGTGAAGCTGGCTCTGCCGTCTCCCCCAGCTCACATTACCTTCCTAGAATTACTCCCCGGCGGGGTCGAACCTCTGCTGGGGGCGCTCCCACAGAACGATCTGGTTACTCACAAAGTCCTGCTTTAAAGCCAAACCTTGAACCTAGACTCAGGTGGAGGAGGATGGCCAAGTTCACCTCCAGGGTCTGCTGCGAGCCTGGGCTGAGCACAGGAAGACCTCGTCCATGACAGATACAGATGACATTGAACATGGAGACTAGATGTTATACAAGGAAGGGACTTGAATGATGCTGGCTATCTTCTGCTTGGCCGTTGTGAATTCATTCCCATGAGCACAGGAAGTGGACTCATCCCCACTTTACAGATGAAGAACTGAGATTCGAGTGGAGGAATGAAGAATTTGGTCAAGCATTGCCAGAAGAAAGCCCTGAGCACCACCAGGTGTGGCCCAAAACCCAAAGAAAAAGGAAATGGAAGAGAAGGAGGAAGAGGAGGAAGAGGAGGAGGAAGAGGCAGCATTTCCTCCAGCCCCACTTCTTTGTAGTCTTCTCTCTGAAAGATTTTCTCTCACCTCCAGATGCACCCAACTTTCCTTTCTTTTTTTTTTTTTTTGTTTGCTCTTGGGCCCTCCACTCAGCGATGCACAGGGATTACTCCTGACTCTGCACTCAGGAATCACTCCTCGTGGTGCTCAGGGGACCATATGGGGTGTCAGGGGTCAAATCGGGGCATATGCAAGGCAAACGTTCTACCCGCTGTCCTATCACTCCAGCCCCACCTGCAGTCAACTTTCAACTGCCTTTTACTGTAGCTCAAAACGCCACCACACTTGTTGTTTGAGATGGCAAAGCCAGAGTCATCCTCCTGGTCTCAGTTCTTGAACTGGTCCCGTCAGAAGACACTGCCGAGCACTGCCTAATGTTTATTAGGCTCTTTTATACCCAGCATCTCTCTTCAGGACAAAAGGGAGGAAGATAAGTTAAAAGAGAGATGAAGAGATAACACCACGGGCAGGGCGCTTGCCTTGCCCATTGCCAACCCAGGTTTGATTTTCATCCCCCTCCTTTTGGTCCCCTAAGCACTACCAAGTGTGACCCCAAAACTAAGAAAAAGAGAAAGAGATATTTCCCACATCGAGGCCAGGAGTCAGATCCTGTTAGGTAGTATACAGTGTATGTGTGTGTGTGTGTGTGCGCGCGCGCGCACACGCCCCCACACACACACATACGCAGAGAGTATACACACTCATGCATGCAGCCTGGAAATAAAAAGTATGAGCTCTGATGTCAGATGAATCTGGTTTTAAATTCTGGCTCTGACAATGACAAGGCACGTGACACCCTTTGTGGCATGTCCCATGATGTGTCGCACCTCGGTGACTTCATCAGTGCCGTGAGTGTAACAGGCACCTCCCCTTAGTGTGTAATTAAAACAGGCCCCTGCAAAGCCCTTCACAGACAAAAGTACCCAGGAGTCATAGTTGAGTGTATCAAGCACGAAAGAGATCTTTGAAAAAGAGATCTGTGGGTGATGTGGGTGTTTGAAGGTGGGAGCGTGCATGTGTGTGTGTGTGTGTTTGTGCATGTGCATGCATGTGAGTATATGCGCGCGCACTAACACACACACACAAGTGAATGCACGCACCTCAGTAATCCTCACCACACAATCACACTGTAAAAGAACAGGAACTTTTCGCTCTAAACTTTGGTACCTCCAAGCAATGAATGGCTTAGAATACTGGAGGTAGAAGCCAAGGCCAGGACCAGGCTGTTTCCGTGTACCTCAGTTTGTCTGTCCTGGAACACACAGATCCTGTGATTTCTGGGGGAGGGGAGGTGTGAGACTTTAGCCCACACTGGTAGGCAGAGGCTGTCTGCTGTGTGCACAAGGATGTGACTGTGTGTGCACGTGCCCGAGCCTGCAACTGTTGGGAATCAGTGTCTGCAGAGGTATATGAGCTTTCTCTGCCTAGAAATATTCTAGAAATATTTTTCTCACCATCTCTAGAGATGTGTGTGTGTGTGTGTGTGTGTGTGTGTGTGTGTGTGTGCTCACGTCTGTGCTGTGCAAAGGACACGAGGTTTCACATGGGTCTGGAAGCTTTATGGTAGCCTGTTCTCCTTTGAGCCCAGAGCTGTGCACACGTGTAGGAACAGTTCCAGGAGGGCTCATGTGTGAATGAGGGTGACGGCAGAGGTGCAGAGATGTGGGGCAGGGGTGAGGCGCTGTGTGCAGGTGTCTGGAGGCACAACACAAAGTCTGAATGTGCGTCTTTGGGGTTTTGGAAGAGAAGGCGGGTTTCCATGTGGCTCTGGGGCTTAGGATGTGCATGGAGCTGGAAGCCTGGGCAGGGGGGTAGGATGGAGGGGCATGGGGGCACGTGCACATCCTGGGGAGCTGGTGTGGGGGGGGAGTCTGTCTTGGAGTGGAGGCATCCTTGGCTACATGATTGCAGGCCTATGTGTTTGGGAGCTGTGTCTCCTGTCTAAACCACTGGGACCCCACCCCGTACCTCTCTCACGAAGACGGAGACCCTAGAGAAGAAGATTGGGCGTTAGGGTGGAGGACTCAAGGGGTGGGGAACTGAAGGATGGGGGGGACTGTTACAGGCAGTCCCTCCCAGGAGAATTCAGGAGAGCCCAGTCACAGTGCTCGGAGGAGGCAGGGCTGGAGGCGCAGAGCAGGTGTGTCTGGTGGGAGTGGGGGGTGCCCTGAGCCGGGCAGCGATGCCAGCAGGACACCGCGGCCCACATCCACGCAGACAACAGTGTGACAGGCCGGGGGTGGTATCCCAGGGAGCTTGATTTCGTGAGGCACGTTCTCCAACTCTCCCCCGAGGGGTGACCTCCGATACCCCCGTTCCCGTGAGTGGAACTGCGCCCGCGGGCCGGGTGGGCGCGAGCGGGGGTGCGGGTGCCGGCTGGCCCGCGCCTTTGTACGCTGGGGACGCCTGGGCGCGTCTGTCCGCAGCGCGGAGTTTCTGTGCGTCTGTATGTCTGTGTGTGTGTCTCTGGGTCGCTGCCTCGCTGTGTGTGTCTCCTCTCCCTTGGCGGGAGGGGATTGGTCACACATGACTCATCTTGAACCGAGCGGGGCTCCAGCGGCAGGGCGGCCGTCGCCGCAGCTGGAGGGAGAGGCGGAGGAGGAGGAGGAGGAGGAGGAGGAGGAGGAGGAGGAGGAGGAGGAGGAGGAGGACGAGGACGAGGACGAGGAGGACGAGGAGGAGGACGAGGACGAGGAGGACGAGGACGAGGACGAGGAGGAGGACTGCGAAGAGAGCTGGGAGGAGGCGCAGGAGGGGGCGGGGGCCTCTCCAAGTTTGTCGGGACCTTCTTCCGAGGCAGCGGCGGCTGCAGCCGGGGAGGCCGGGGCTGCGCGCGGGCCGGGGCCGGGGCGGAGGGCTGGGGCCGGGCCCGGGACTGCGGGACCGGCGCCTCCTCTCTGCCACTGCTCGTGCTTCAGTTTCGGCTCGCGCCGCGGCCGTGGCCCCCCCGGACGCGGCTCCGGGCGCTGCGCACCCGCGGAGCCCGCCGCGACCCGGCCCATGTACTGGAAGCATGAGAACGCGGCCCCGGCGCTGCCCGAGGGCTGCCGGCTGCCGGCCGAGGGCGGCTCCGCCACCGACCAGGTGAGCCGGCCCGGGGGATGCAGGAGCGCGGCCGCGGCCGGACCCCCGCGGACCAGGCCGGGTGGCGGGCGGCCGCGGGGAGGAGGAGGGGGCGCGGGGGTGCGGGGGTGCGCCCGCGAGTGTGTGTCTGGGAGTGTGTGAGCGCGCGCGAGCGCGAGGGGGGGTCTCGGAAAGCGGGAACACATTATGCAAATGTTGGAGGAATTTCTCAAAAAGCGATTTAGCAAAGACACAGGCGAATCAAGAGGAGGCGAGGCGGGTATTGTCCGTCTGAATAGGCGCTGATAGCGCCGATGCGCCGGGGGTTGTGCGGGCGCCGCGCGGAGAATCCCGAGACGCGGGGCCCATCCCGGGCGCGCCGAGGGACTGCGGCGTGCTCGGCCCTGCTCTGGGCCGCCGCGGCTTTCTCTTTTTGGGTCCCGTCGCGCCCTCCGATCTCGCCCCGGTTTCGCTCCGGGTTTCCCCGCGAGCAGCCCTCGAAGGGCGCCGGAGCCGTGCCGTCACCGCCGCATCCGTTCCACCACGCGCGCGCCGATGTTCCTAGCGCGCAGGGTTTTATTTTCCTCCAACGCCCCCCTCCCCTCTATCTCCTTTTTATTTTCTTTCTTTCTCCCTTTTCTCCTTTTTTGCATTTTGTGCCGAGAGGAGGAAAAGGGAGCGAGGGAAGGAGGGGGTGGAAGGAGAAAAAATTCGATTTTTAATTACTACCATTAAAAAATCAAATTTGCAATTCTTTGGGCGGCCTGATGGATCTCACTGATTGACAGTTGGAATTGACACTCTGGCTACCTCTTATCTTGGGCATTCACGACAATTTCTAATTGCAGGTAGTTTATGTGTGTGCGCGTGTTTTTTTTCCCCCCTTAGAGGCTTGGATTGCAAGGGAACTAAGCGATTACTTCAAGAGCCACGGGTTAAGTGCAGGGAGAGGGGGAGAGAGAGGGAAAAATCCAATCCAAATTCAAATTGCTTCATTAGAGAGACACCGCTTTTGTGGGGAAGGGTTTTAAATGCCCACTACAAAGTTAGGACTCATTGTTCCGCGCCGGTTTATATAACAGGCGCGGGGAGGCGCTGGGCTCTGGCTGAGCGAAGCCAGTTCGGCAGCCGCAGCCGCCTGCCTTCCCTCCCCCCTCCCCCAGGTGATGGCCCAGCCTGGGTCCGGCTGCAAAGCGACCACCCGCTGCCTTGAAGGGACCGCGCCGCCGGCCATGGTGAGTTTGCGCGGCGCTGCGTTCCGTGCCCAATCCTGGGGAGGTGACCCGGCTTTCGGGGGCCCATGTGCCGGGGAACGCTCTCTTTGGGCCGGGGGTGTTCAGGGCCGGGAATGAGGTATCTGACCGCTCCCGGCCCCCCCGGATGCGGGTGCGCAGAGTTGGAGCCGCTTCTTCCTACCCCGTAGGCCCTCACATTCTTGTCCTCGAGCCCCCAGCGCGGCGTCTGGGGGGGATTTCGTTGTCCGTGGATGCGCAGGGTTAGCATCGGCCGCCGCAGCGACTCTGGGCGCCCGGCTCGGGCGCTCGGCTCAGGGCCCTGCGCCCCGCCTGTGCCCGCATCTGCAGGCGCAGTCGGACGCCGAGGCCCTGGCGGGGGCTCTGGACAAGGACGAAGGCCGGGCGTCTCCCTGTACGCCCAGCACGCCGTCGGTCTGCTCACCGCCCTCTGCCGCCTCCTCCGTGCCCTCGGCCGGCAAGAACATCTGCTCCAGCTGCGGCCTCGAGATCCTGGACCGGTATCTGCTCAAGGTGAGGCGCGTGTGGGCTGGCCGGGGGTAGGGGGAGTCGCAGCCCCCAACAGGCCAGGTACGTGTCATAACGAATCCTGGCCCCGAGGCTTCCCGAGTACGTGGCATCGGGTCTTCGCTTTTCTCTGTGCCTCCCAGCGGGCAACCCCCCCCCCCCCCGCCCGGTACCACCCCCTAGTCTGGGGGGAAAAAACGGGGAGAGGTTTTTTAATTCTCACCTCCCCGAGAGAGCATCCCGGTTAGGGAGGAAAAGTGAGGAAGTCCCTTACAGCTCCTGAACTGTGTCTGCAAATGAGACGGTGTGTGTGTGGGGGGTGGGGGGGGACGACGACGGCGTTTCCCCCTCCCCAACGCCCCCTCCCCGCAACTCCGCGTGAAAAGAGGCCCGCGCTGAGCCGCCGCCCCCCACCTCCGCCCCCTCCCCAGGTCAACAACCTCATCTGGCACGTGCGCTGCCTCGAGTGCTCTGTGTGTCGCACGTCGCTGAGACAGCAGAACAGCTGCTACATCAAGAACAAGGAAATCTTCTGCAAGATGGATTATTTCAGGTAGGCGGCGGGCCGCCGGTCCGCAGTGGCGCCCAGCGCGGCATCCCGCCGCACCCCCTCGCGCCGTCGTCCCCGCTGCGTCCCGCACCCGCTGTCCCGCTGTGTCGTGCGGACCCATACCCCCGGCTCCCGGCGCCGCCACCACCCAGGAGCTCCCGGTCGGCCGCGCGCCCCCGCCGGCGCAGGTCCCCGCCCGCGATGCATGCGCCTCCGGTTCCTGCGCCCCACTGGGTTTCGTTTGCGTCTCTGGCCGTGCGTCTCGGCTTGGAAGTGACTCTTCCAGGCTCCGGGTTTCTGAGCTTCAGCGCCCACGTGGAGCTCTGGTACTCCGGCTTAGGTCCCCGATCCGGGCCGGTCCCAGCCAGAGCTCAGGCTGCACGCCCAGTGCGCGCCAGCTCGGGGGTTCCCACCTCCTTTGCCTGCAGCCTGTGCCAATCCATCTCTCTCCGCGGCAGGATTCTGAACTGAGCCCCAATTCTTGTCCGGGTCCTGGCCCTGGCCCTCCCTGGCTCACTTAAGCGTGGTTAAGGTTTGAGACCAAGCACCAGCCTCACAAGGGCCTCAGATTCCATCCATATCCCAGTCCCACCTTGGTGCGTGTCAGGCTCAGACTCTGGCGTCGCTGCAGGGGTGCATTTCTAATCTGGCGTCCTGTGCAAGTGCCCGGTGGCCAATTCCGTCCCAGTTCCAGCGTAGTCTCCCTGGGTGTGACTTTATAGATGATGGGGACAAACGGGGGAGCCAGGGCTGCAGGCAGCCAGGGCCTTGGGTGGGCACACCCCAGCTTGCCCTGCCTGCGCCCCACCGGGCAGCTCAGCTCGCACACAGCCAGGCTTCCCCTCAACAGCTTGAGATCGAAGCACTGCTTATACTCCGTTGGGGTCATGAGGTCGAGGTCACTGCGAGGTCAGGGGCAAAGCTCTCGCCCGATCACTTCCCCCGTTGCTGGAGCTGAAGCTGACCCAGCCCCCGAGGGCTATGGGAGTCGTGTGGAAGACCCTCCTGGGACAGACCCTATTCCCCAGGTTTTTCCCAGTCAAGTGAGGAAAGCTTTCTCCCCAACTTCATTCCCCAGGTCCTGGCTTCATTCTTGGGGAGAGCCCCTCACCCCCACCCCACCAACCCGCCAGGCTCAGAAGGATCCCCAGACTCAGGAAAGGGGACGAAAGCCCCCACCCCTGGCATGGTGCTGGCAGCAGTTGGGGCTGTCATGGTTTGGGGCAACCACGCAGGATGTGCAAGTTCTGGACTGTTCTGTGTGGGTGGTGGGGAAAGGTGCCCTGGGGGCTCTACTAGGGGCTCGACATGTCAGGAGTGCGTGTCAGGGTGGGGCTGCTTCACCACCAGGCAGGTGCGGGCACGGGGGTTGGGGGTCCTTTTGGGCAAGTTTTATCTTTCAGTTGGTTTGCCCAGGAGAGCAAGATGCCCTCTGTGCCTATTGGCCTTTTGCGTGTGCACGCGTGTGAAAGAGAAAGCAGGGTAACTAGGACAAGGTTCCCTCTGAAGAGGATCAGATGCAAGCGGGAGGATTCTGAATTCCCACCCTTGCCTCCTCTGAGCCTCTGGCAAACACTGCCAACCAGGGGGCCGGTGGAATGTGGATTGGGGTACTGGGATGAGGCTGTGTGCATGTACCAGAAGGGGTGGTCTGATGGAGTCAGGGTGATGTTCTCCACACCGTCCCCTCTGACTGTTGGTTAGCCAGAGCAGGGATCCGAGGGTGGGGACTGCGTCTCTCCACTCCCCTGCATCAGGCCTGGCTCCACTGTGCCAAGCTGCCGGTGTGGAGTTTCTCGAACCCACAGACTAACTGGGGCAAGGCTCCCGCCTGGGAAAGGGAGCAGAATGGTCTCTCCAAACGGGAAAAACCATGGACCTTGCAATCCTCCGAGGCTACCTGCCCACTGCTTTTCCAGCCCCAGCTCATGCTCAGCTGGACCGAGCTGTTTTGTGTGCTGGGCTTAGCTAACTCGAAGGATGAATTAAAACTCAGGCTCTGACTCCATTGTTCGGCCCCCCCACAAGCTCTAGAGTCCCCCTCCTCAATGTGCTGAGCCCCTCCTTCTCACCCCAGTGGGCTCCAGACTTGGGGAGCAGCAGAGCCTGGATCACTGGGTGACCCTATGTGACCATGGATGGTCACGTTACTCCCTCTTGCTCGTCCCTTAGGAGTGATCCAGAAGGTCAGGACTGGGAGGTCATGGAGGCTCCTGAACTTGCAAGTGTTCTGGGTGCTGTGATTGTCACTGTCCTCACTCTTCACAGCGGGGACAACTCAGATAACCCCTTGTAGGCATGTTTGAAGAGGAAAAGGACCAGGCCAGCCGCTCTTGGGCTCCCGGTTCTGAGTGCTAATCCTTTCCCAGTGCCCCTTCCTAAGAGCTCCAAAAGTAAAACTGAAACAGATTTCTGGAGGGAAAGAACTAGTGGTGCGTCTGATCACACCCCACACCTCCCCCACCTCCCCACGCCCTCCCTGCCCTGACTCACCCAGCCCCTAGATCTCCTGAAGGCATAGCCCATCCCTGGAAGCCCCACCTGTAACAAAAATAATAAAACCCACAAAAAAGGGAAAGGAAAGGTCTGGGCAGTGCCAGGCAGGGACTGCTGTCTGCTCTGAGCAACACCCAGGCCCCAAGGAGAATATGAATGGAGGAGGGGCTGAGAGGGCAGAGCTTAGGGTCCACTAGGAGCTATGCCCTGAAATGCTTGACTTCTCTCTTTCCTGAAGCCCAGAGTCAGGGGTCTGTGGAGAGTACAAACTGGAGTGCTTGACCAGCAACGCCGAGGTCTCTCATCAGGGAGCCGAATGGGGAGCTCATGGAGGGGATACTGAGTCCCCTCTTTCTCCAAGTCCTCCATCCCATGTGTCCCCTCCAAGACACTGTCCCTTAGACCTGTCTTCAATGTCACCTGGCCGTTTGTGTTGGTACTCAGAAGGTTGGAGCTTCAGAAGCTACCCCAAGATTACTAAAGATCTCAGAGACTGGGGGTGGCCAGAGGCCCGTGCCCTGCCCACTGATTTGCCTATTGGGAGGACTTGGTTTGCCCCTGGCTCTGTGCCCTTTGCAAGGTGCTGGCCCTCCTGCTCTCTGCCTCAGTTTCTCCAGCTTTCCCTCTACACAGCATCTCACTAGTTCTCATGCCTTCAGCAGATTCCCACTGCCTCTGGAACCCCCCAAGTCCTAGCAAAAAAAGAACCCCCCAAAACCAAAGACTGACCGGGAGGTGACTGTGCTTTCTGGTTGCTTCTGCACGCACTGTTTCCCTTTCCCTTTTCTTTGGAGAAGTGAAGCAAAGGCGTGGTCAGGGGTAGGGATGAGGTTCCTTTTGGGGGCACTTATAGCTTCCCTGGACTCAGCAGCTGCACCCCCAGATAGCTTCCTCCTGCCCACAGCCCACGGACCTGCTTTTACCACCCCACCCCTAAATGGGACCGGACAATCCTGTGTGCCTTGTTCCCATGGCATCCTGAAGCACCGTGCCAACTGTGTACCAGGGGAGGCCAGTGGCCCTGGAGAGAGGGAAAGTGACCTGCCCAGGGAGAACGAGGGTGTGGGAGGAGGAGGAAGGGGGAAGAGAGGGGAGGAAGACTCCGGTTCTCTGAATGCAAGAGCTTCCTAAGCTACAACTGTGTTAACCCTTCCCATGCTTTATCTCCTTTAATGCGAAAACCTGCCCTGGGAGCATGTTTGTCTCCTCATCCCCATGTTAGAGGAGGGGAAATTGAGGCTCCTAGGGCAGAGTCTGAGTCACCACCCTGCCCCCATCCCAGTGCATCCTTGAAGAAGTCTTCTGCCCTAGACCAGCTGTGTCTGCGCCCTGGGGGGTGGGGGGGTATTGAGGGGGCTCTTCACCCAAGCAGCACCCGCTGTGCCCCTAGATGGGTCCTGTGGGAACATGCACTCAGGAGTGTCCTCAGAGACCTGGGCCAGGAGCACTGGACTCCAGGATCAGGTCACCTTGGCTACTCCCAGGCCTTTGACCTTGGGAGCAGGGAGTTAAGCGTTAAGGACCTCTCCTTGCCTTTTGAGGGGGTAGGATTCAGACCTATCCTGGTGCTGCTGTCCCCTGCATGTTAGCCCAAGTCTTTATCCTACTCTGGCCTTCCTTGAGCCCCAGTACTCGTTGGGAGGAGGAGGGGGCTCCAGGGGGAGAACCCCACCCCTCCCCCAGAGCCAGAGTCCCCTGGGAAATGCGGTGCTGGGAAGCGGCCCCCCACCGCGGCAGAGAGCTGGCCCAGCAGCCGCCAGCTGTTGGGGGACAGATGTTGGGGAGAGCTTAGAGTAGAGTTAGGGAGGGGCCTCAGGCCGGGACCTCCGTGGTGCTGGGCTTTTTAACCTCTTAATTGCTGGTTCTGTTTTTTTTCCTTTCCCCCCTCCCCCTTCTCCTTGCTTCCTTCTGCCTCACGTCTTCCCTTAAGGGTTGTTCAGCGGAGAGGAATCTGAGGGGATACGAAGGGAGCTGAGCAGGAGAGAGGAACCGAATCTCCTTGTTAGCCTCCTAGCGTCTAAGGTGGTCAAGTGAGCAGGCCCACCAAAATAAGACTGATCTGAGGGGTTCAGGTGGGGCTCGGCTCACTGCTCTGTAGTTCACTTGGGCTTTTTCCCTTGTACGTGTGCAGAGGTGAGGTCGCCCTGCAGTACAGGCAGGGATGCGAGCGAAATTTCAGAGGGCAGAGGCTCATTCTTCCAGCAGATGATTCCTAAGTGCTTCTGGAATAGGCGGGTGGAGCGAGCGAGCGTACCCTGGTCAGGCGCAGCACCCGGGTACAGCCCTGTGGGCCGAAGTCTCTGCTCAGCGCAGTGCTAGGGGAGCGGTGCTAGGGGAGCACGGGGAATGTGCCGCGCTCAGTTTCCCGGGAAGTTGTCACACTGAGCTTCTTGTCAACCCCAAAGCCCTTCGGTTGTGGGTGCCTGGGCTCTGGGGATCCCGAGAGCACCAGGCTTAGGGGGTGTTTGTGGAGCCTCCTAATCGCTTCGGCACCGCCCTCGGGAGGAGCTCCCAAACGCCCCTTTCTTGAAGTTTCGTTGTCTCTGCGCTCGCTCCCCGGATTTCGCTGTTCCCGGAATTTGGAATTCGGCGGCTGAGCCGCCGGAGTCCGAAGTCCGTTGGTTTGCTAGAATCCCAATCAGTGAAAGCCTCCTCTTGTCCACTGTGTGCGCTGCAGACCCTGGCCTTGGCGGGCAGTGGGCACACTTCGAAGCAGCCCGGGAGGACCCCCAACCCAGCGTCGCGGTCATGCTGGGGGGGGGGGGTCAAGCGACAGTGTTGTTTCGTTGGCCCGCGGGAGCACTCGATCAACACTGGGAGGACCTGCGGCTGGGGACAGTGCCTGGCACCAGGAGGGACGCGCAGAGGGAGAGAGCTTGTCATTTAGGTGGGGTGGCCGTGCTCGGTTTGGAGAGGGCGCTGCTGGAAGCACTGAAAGAGAATGGAGTGTAGGAACCGGGTCTCAGAGAGCCTGGAGATTTGAGGAGTCTTGTGGATGTATAGCTGGTGGCATTGGGGAGACCCACAGAGCCGAGTGTGCTGTGTGCAGATTGGGAAGGGACACTCCCGCGCATCACCAGATTGCCCAGCATGGTGGTGCCCGCTGGCCTCCGTCCTAGCACCCCCTCCCTCCCACGCCGGCCCCTCCGTAGGGGCCACCTTCAGACCTGGCTCCTTTCCGGTCGGTCGATCCTAAATCAGCCTTACTCCTCTCTACCCATGAGCTCTAGATCTTTAAATCTCTCCAGAGGGGGCTTCAGTCTATGAGGAGCTCACGTGTGGTGGTCTTGGACAAGTCATTTGCCCGCTTACAAATTGCATGTCAGAGTTCCTACCTCAGGTTGCCGCAGTGAAAGGCAGTGGGAGCTGTGGGAGGGAGGGATGTTACAATGGCTCCTATTCCAGGCTGCCAACTGCAGCCAGGGCTCTGCATACATCTGTTGCCTCAGTCCTTCTGGCTCAAGCCAGAAAGTGCTCCCAACCTGGACACAGCCATCCCTTATGTAACCAGGAGGGACCATCATGGGTTGGGGGTGGGGAGCAGGTCTGCACTGACTGAGCAGAATTGATTTCCTCCCTGCTTTCCTCCAGAATTAAGTAATGAACCCTGGGTGTGTAGGATTCATCCCCGGAAACCAAGGAAAACCGAGTGCGTCTGACGCGAGCTTGCCTCAGCTTCGAGAGTGGGAGCGTAAGGAGATTGCCAGAGCTCAGTGCATCCTCAGTGAACCAAATCCCGAACCTAGTGAAAGCCCTCCTTGACCCTTACATCCCTGGTCCCAAAAGAGTGATGTTGTGGGTCCTTTATCAGAGGGTTCTGCAACCCTTGGACTGTTGCTTCTTGCACTCACCGAGGTGGTCAGGACTATAACCAACAAACGGGTGCCTTGGCTAACTGGTTCCCTGTGCCAAGGCTCTGGGTGGCAGTGGGGTCGCCCAAGTAAGTCTTCCCAGTTCTCTACCTGGTGGCAAGGGTAGTCAGGGGAGTGAGGAGCCAAACACGGAGAGGTAAGTGCTGCAACAGAGCTTCTGGATGGGACTAGCAGGTTTGTGTCTAGAGGGGTGGGGGGGAAGGCCTGAGCCAGGGAAAAGTACCGTGGAGGGGCCCTCCAGGACCCAGGCTGACTTGGGCCTGCTCCTCCCCCACCCCTGGAGGAAGATTAGTGTTTGGGTCTGAGAGGAGAGGATGTGGTCTGTTGGGCTTTGTGGACTGCCAAAGCTCTTGGATGAGACCCTGAGGACAGAGCGGAACCGCCAAGGATTGGAGCGGGGCAGGGGAGGGTGCAGGATCCAAGATGCACTCTGCAGGCCTCAGGGCGACAGGGGAGAGGGGGTGGGGGGGCTCCTTGGAAACGGGAAGGGCTGACTGGGAAGGTCCAGCCTGTGCAGCCTACCCAGGGCAGTGGAGAGGAGATGATGGGGCCTCAGATACTTCTGAAAGGATATGGATGGAGGAGAAGGAGTGGCAAGATTTCAGCTTCTAAATTTAAGGGACCAGACACAGTGTGTGGTGGCAGAAATCCCAGTGTGCATGAGAGGAAACTGAGGCTAAAAGAGCAGGAACAGGCTGAGTCACTCAGAACAAGCCTTCCTTGGCACGCAGGGGTTGTGCTGTGAGCTGACCTCAGCAGCCAGGTGAAGCCCATTTAGGCTGCTTTCCAGAGGTGCTTCCAAGTCTGATGGTGGAAGCAGGAGAAGGAAAGAGGGGAGGAGGCTTTCTGGGGAGGGACAACTGGTCTGGTGTGTGTGTGTGTGTGGGTGTGGGTGTGTGTGTTTTCAGCCATTGTTAGAAAGGCATGTGACTGCAGAGTCTGACCAGCTGAGTAGTACCGGAGCACAGAGCACTAAATAATTCGCGGTCACTGCTGTTGGCCTCTTCTCTGGGCAAGCAATGTGAGCTCTCAGAGGAGTCAAATCATTTGTGCAGGGTCACAAAGCCAGTAAGTGCGTTCTCTGTCTCTGCTTCCGCAAAACTCCAGGCTTCTCTTCGCTTTGAGTTTATTCATCCCTGGAATCAGGCTTGCTTGGTTTCTCTACCCTTGCCACCTGTGTGACCTTGTGAAAGTTTCCTGACCTCTGTGGTCCTGAGTTTCCTTAGCCTCACAGTCAACACAAACACTTGGGACCTTTGCTGGGCAGATGGTAAGAGGGCAAAAATAGTCTTATTGTTTCTGTTATTGTAGTTTCCCTAGCCAGAGAGGTTTTATTGAGTACACAGCTTGAGTGTGAGATACAGCTGTCAGTGATCCTTAGAGACAATTAGGAAAACTCAGAAAAGCATCAACAAGAAAGTAAAACAAAACAAAACACCACCACCAAAACACCCCGAACCACCCACCCTCTCATTTTCCAGGTGGGGCTTAGTTGCGCTCGAGGGGTGGGTGGATCGAGGCGAATTCAGGGCGCCGTGGAAGGCGCGCGTTGGGCTTTGAAGAAACGGGGGCAGGCGCGGGGAAGAGGGGAGCCTGAGTCTCGCCATCCTCTGCCCTGTTCTCCCGCAGCCGGTTCGGGACCAAGTGCGCGCGGTGCGGGCGGCAGATCTACGCCAGCGACTGGGTGCGGAGGGCGCGCGGCAACGCCTACCACCTAGCCTGCTTCGCCTGCTTCTCCTGCAAGCGGCAGCTCTCCACCGGCGAGGAGTTCGGCTTGGTGGAGGAGAAGGTGCTGTGCCGCATCCACTACGACACCATGATCGAGAACCTCAAGAGGGCCGCGGAGAACGGTACCCACCCGTCCCGCCGGGCACCCGATCGCACCCCTGCCCACCCCGCGCCCTTCCCACCCCACCCACCTCGCTCCTCGCGCGGCCGGCGCTCTGGCGCCAGGAGCCCCGTTTGATCGCCCCCCAGAGGAAGCGCGCGGGGAGCGACGCGCCCAGCTTGCGTTTCTGGCTGCCCGGTTTGCTAGAGAAGCCGACTCCAATCCCCTAGAGAGACTCTTGAGAAATCTGTGGAATGGGGCTGCCGCCTATGGAGGGAGCACCTTCTCAAAGACCAGGGAGCCACCCAGGTAAAGCCAGGATGTCCCTAGAGATGATGCTCAGGACGAAACAGTCCGGCTTTGGACCACCCTGCTGGGTCACTTTTCCTCCAGCTGCCCCGGTGGGTGAGACCTGGAGGGATAACAATCCCGGATCTCACTCCCCATCTGGCAGCTCCAAGCTAGAGACTGGGAAGGGGGATTCATCCAGGACTGGAAGGAAAGAGACCTTTGCTTGGGGTTTGTCTCCTGGCATGCTCGAGGGGAGGGGGTTGCCGGGGGTGGGGGCAGAGGAAGGGTCTAGCCTCTCTGGGCCTCAGTCTCCTTTCTGTATAAGAAGAATGTTGGATTAGAATGACCCCTCCAGTCCTCTGGCTCTGATAGCGGACTTTCCCCTCTCCCCCCCCCCAAAAAAAAAACGATTATAGATACAGGTCTTTCAGCCTTGGTGAGGGCTGGGGCAAGGCTGGTTTGAGGGCTGGAAGAAAGGAGTGGAGGCTAGAGTGACGGCGAGGCAGGCACTCTTTCCAGAACTTTCCAGCCGGGATGCTAACTTCCCTCTGTCATGATAACTTGATATGATCCCTACAATCAACTCCTGAGGAAGGGGCCCCCCCCCCTTTTTCAGAGGTGAGATAATAGGTACAGGTTATCTGCAGTGTGGATGTGACATGTCAGAGATAAGACTGACTAAGAAGCAGCCTTCCCCTCCTCCCCAAAATCCCCTGCTCTTTCCCAGCTCAAACTCCAGAGCCCCCTTCATCTGGACCCCTGGGCGGGAGGCTACTGAGCCGGAGTGCCCTCCATTTGCCATTTCCCCTGGAAAGTGCTCTGGGGATGCTCAGACCTCGAAGTGTCTGCCTCACCTCCAGACCTGCAGGGGTGAATGAATCTAGGTGGGGAGCAATTCAGAGGGGGTTGCTGTGAAGGTCTACCTTCGGTGTCAGGACAGGTAGGCACTGGAAACCCAGGAGCCATACCTCCCATATCAGTGACCCTACATGTGGACCAGCTAGGGCCACCTGAGGTCCCAGAGTCAGGCTAAAAGCTCCTCTTGGTGCTGGGATCAACTCCATTGACCTTTAATGCAATTGTTTTACTCTTTAAATACACACATACTTATCGTGGGGAAAAAAATGAGATGAGATGGTTTAAGGGGAAAAATCAAAACAAAAGCAAAGATTGCTCCTAGGTCAGAGCGATAGTCCAGTGAGTAGGTGCTTGCCTTGTACATGGACATCCCTGGTTCAATCCTCGGCATCCCATATGGTCCCCTGACAGGAGTGATCCCTGAGCACAGAGTTGGGAGCTTACTCTGAGCATGGTCGTGTATGCCCCCCAAATAATATTTATCCAAATACCACCACCTTCTATATTTTACTATGCACCATCTCTGTTTTTATATAGATATAATGGAGTGTATATCTGTATACACTCCACCTCCAAATATAGACTTTTTCCGAATTAAAAGGAAAACAATAAATTGTGAATAATGGTGGAATTGCTGATGATTTCTATTTTCTTGCTTAGGTTTATCTGAATTTTCCCAGTTTTTAATGAGTGCGTTACTTTTGTATTCAGATAAATGAGATACTAAAAGTAAAATGGAAATGTATCAAGTATAATTGTAAAAGTAATGTTGGTGGGAGGAGAATATCTAACATATACTCCAAGTAACAATATTAAACCTTAGAGAAATAAGGTGACAAGATTGTTGCAAAACCCTCCAGGCTTAGAAAGGTAAAGTCTTCACACATCCTGCTAGGTGGCCACCGCTAAGGCTTTATGGGGATCCTTCCTACCTTTTTGATTCTCCCCATTTTATTTTTACAAAATTAGGATTGCATTTCTGTAACCTGCAGACTTCCCTGCTCTCCCCTGCCTTGTTTTAGCTAGGGGAGGCCAAGTTGGGGCCCTGGAATGAGTCAGTAGAGGATTCTAGTGGACAGGTCTGGGCATTCTTCCTTCTGGGCCTTAGTTTCCTCCGCTATAAGGTCAGGGTCATGTCGCCCGCCCTCGGGGATGTGAGACAGAAAGGCCCACGGAAAGAGAAGCATCCGTGTGGAGCGGAGGTCCAGAGTGCAAAGGCCCTTCCCCAAAGACTGAGCTCAGGGATCGCACCCGGGGGTCCCGCTTCACGGCCAGGTCCGCTCCTGACCCTTCCAGGGACCAGCTCCCCCCCACCCCCTTTCCAGGCTGCCACTAAAAGAGATGGGGATTGGTCAGCCGCTTGTGTCGCCCCCAGGGAACGGTCTCACGCTGGAGGGGGCAGTGCCCTCGGAGCAGGACAGTCAGCCCAAGCCGGCCAAGCGCGCACGGACGTCGTTCACCGCGGAGCAGTTGCAGGTACCCGGGCGGGCCCGGGGCCGGGGGCGTGGCCTCAAGGGAGGGTGGGGGGCGGAGAGAGCTTCTGGCCCCGCCCCTTCCCGGGACCCGCGGTTGGCCGGGGGGCGTGGCCTCGGGGTCCGGCGTCTCTGATTGGGCCGCGGACTCGGAGCGCCCCGCGCGCTCGCGCTTCACTGCCCCGCCGCGCCCGGCAGGTTATGCAGGCGCAGTTCGCGCAGGATAACAACCCCGACGCGCAGACGTTGCAGAAGCTGGCCGACATGACGGGCCTCAGCCGGAGGGTCATCCAGGTGGGGCCCGGGGGACGCCGGGGACGGGGGCGGAGGAGGGGGACGCGCCCGGGACCCTCGCTGCGGGAGCCGGACCCCTCGGGCCGCGTCCCCGCCGTGCGCGCGCAGAGCTGAGGCCGCGGTGCTGTGGTTGCAGGTGTGGTTTCAAAATTGCCGGGCGCGTCATAAAAAGCACACGCCGCAGCACCCCGTGCCGCCCTCCGGGGCGCCGCCGTCCCGCCTCCCCTCCGCCCTGTCCGACGACATCCACTACTCACCGTTCAGCAGCCCCGAGCGCGCGCGCATGGTCACCCTGCACGGCTACATCGAGAGTAAGTGAACGCGACGTCCAGGCCGCTGGGCCGGTGGGGGAGAGGGGGCGTGGGGTGAGATGCATGCACCTCCTGGGGCACTCGCCCCTCGGTCTTTGGCGAGGGTGCGAGGGTGAGGGTCTGTTACCTTTACCGCAGGCACTCCATGCTGCCATTCAATAAAAACGCCTTGCCCCGTACTCCCCACTGGGCCGGACCCGGGTCTAGGGAGAGAGCGAGCTGGGTCCAGTCCCCTGCATTCTGGTAGAGAAGGGAACAAGAAAGAGAGGCCCACGCTTGTGCCCTGCTGTCATTGTGGTGAGCCCACAGGCGAGGCGTGGAGGAAAGGGAGCAGCTGGGCACGGACCTCTAGCAAATGAACAGCTCAGGCCAGCAAAGAAGCCAAGGGAGGTAGAAAGCATCCTGATGACTGGATTATAGGGTTGATACGATAGGGTGATGGGCACTTCCAGGGTTGTGAGCCTTGGGTAAATCACGAGAATTTCACAAACCTCAGTTTTCTCACCAGTAGACTAGGGTGCTAGTTGATGCCTGGCTGGCTGGGTTGTGAGACTCTGAACTTCTGGATATATTCGCATATTCTGGGTCTCCATAAAGTGCTCTCAGGGGCCCAGGGGCTACACGTGGCTACCCTTGGTCAAGGGAAGTGAACAGTGTTCGGACCTAGTGGTGCTAGGGGCTACCAGAGCCAGGGATCGAACTTGGGGCCTCCTGCGTGTAAGGCTGCACTCCAGCCCTTGAGCCATCTAGCTCCCTAATCCTTCAGAGGATGTTATATGTATATATACATATTCCGTGTGGTGTCGGTGGTCAGGGCCTCACACATGCCAGGCACATGCTTTGCCACTAAGCCACGTCTTTGGCTCAGTAAATGTTTTCTCTTTCTTTCTTTCTTTTTTTCTCTTTCTATTCTTTTTCTGTTTTTTTGTTTTTGTTTTTGTTTTGGGCCACACTCAGCGATGTTCAGGGGGGGTTACTCGTGGCTCTGCACTCAGGAAGTACTCCTGGCTCCTGTCAGACTTGGGGGACCATATGGGATGGCAGGGATGCAACTCCAATCGAGGTGCTGTACTATCTCTGTGGCCTCGTGGTAAATGTTTTCAACTGCCCTCTGTGTCCTGGGCCCAGGGATACAGCAGAGAATACATGAAAGCCTGGTGTTCCTGGGGCCCCCATTCCAGAGTGGTAGGTGGGTAGAGAGGCGCTAAACAGTCATGGATTTCTCGGGGTGGGGGGACAGGGGTGAACCTTCATGGGATCTGAGCAGGCACTGATGGCAGATTTCCTTTCCCTTTGAGGTTGTTTGTGTTGACTGCATCCTCAAAGGTGGTGTGGGACTAGAGAAGCACCAAATTTCGACACATAATTGCCACACCCTGTATTGCAGTCACACCAGCATAATAAAATCTTTGCATAACAGATGAGTCTCCACTTTGGGCAAAAGAATGCTGGCATAAAATCCGTGGTGATTATGTAGTGAAAAGCCCTTGTGGGGCCACCGCATGCCCACCAAATCCTGCTCTCTCCGGTGCCAAGTAGATCAGAGAGCTTTGTCGGCTGTGCTCTCACAGCCTAGGTGCCAGACACGCTGCTCAGCGTGGAAATGCCCAAGGCTCGTCTCCTGCTGGACAGATGAAGAAACCAACAGCTGCCAATGGCAATTCTTGGGAGCCAGAATTCCCTGAGGACCCGGGATTCCCTGAGGATCCTGTGTCAGATCCGCTTCCAGCCCCATTTGTGTGAGTCTGGATGAGCTGTTTAGCTATTTCCATGCCTTTAAAAATGAGGATAATAAGATTTCCTCTCTCAGGCTGCCGAGAGAGAGAGAGAGAGAGAGAGAGAGAGAGAGAGAGAGAGAGAGAGAGACAGAGACAGAGACAGAGACAGAGACAGACATAGAGAGACTGTTCAATAGGTTGAACAGAAATTTTGCAATGTGGGAGACCTGGGGTCCATCCCCAGCACCCCGTGTTTCTCTGAGACCTCAGCACCGTGAGGAGTAGCCCCTGAGTCCTGCTGGATGTGATGCCCCCCCAAACAAACAGAACCCCAAGGATTCCTGTCTCCAAACAGTGTTAGATGGGACCACCGAGCTAACTTCTCCAGTGCGCCCTAAGTGCTGTGTCAGTCTTCGCTACTGTTGGATTGGCAGTGGGGGATGGTTCTCGCTGGACAGAGCAAAGGGTGCACCATCCTACCTGCCACATCAGGGTGCCCATCAGAAGCCAAATTTCTTTGTGGGTCTCCGTTTCTGAGCCATCTAAGGAGAGACTTGTATTCCCGTTCTTTTTCACTTTTTAAGTCACAGCCAGCAATGCACAGGGGTTACTCCTGGCTTTGCACTCAGGAGTTATTCCTGGTAGTGCTCAGGAGACCATCTGGGATGCTGGGAATCGAACCCGGGTCAGCCACATGCAAGGCAAATGCCCTATCCACTGTACTATTGCTCCAGCTCCATCTTTTTTAGATTTTTAATCATTTTTGTTTGTTTTAGGGCCACACCCAACAATACTCAAGACTTCTTCCTGGCTCTGCACTCAGCAATCATTCCTGGCAGGGCGTGGGGGACCCTTTGGGGTGCCGGGGATCAAACCTGGCTTGGCTGCCAGCAAGGCGAGTGCCCTCCCTGCTGTGCTGTTGTTCCTTCCTTCCCTTTCCTTTCTACACAGTGGCTCCAGTGGCTCAGAGCTCTTTAGACATCTCCGAGGCTGTCTCAGTGTGGGGTTCCGGAGAGCATCAATGCTTAGCACTCACTAGCACTGGGTCTGGGACTGGAGCCATGGCCCTTGGGGTTGTGTAGGGCTCTGCCCACGTATGTGGTTGACTGAGCTTAGCTCTCTTTGTGATGCTGGGAGCAGGGATGTAGGCATCCTTCCTCTTCCCCGGAGGTGGAACCTGGCCAGCCTAGAGTCATGGAGGATGTTGGGGCCACCCTCTCCATCCTGTGGGACCTAGGGTCATCTCAGCATTCTGCTTTGGGGTTAACTGAACACACGAGCTCCTGAAATGTCTGAAGCTGTTGTGCTAGGAAGTTGAAGGGAGTTTTAGAATCAGAAAAGTGAGGTTTCCCATTACAGTTTTCTCAGGGCACAGGTGTTTCCCGCATCCTTAGGGTGTAGAATCTGATTTGGGGAGAGGAGAGATTTGTTTAGGGCCTGCATCTGGCTGCTCAAGGACTGTTTCTGGCTTTGTGCTCTGAAGGGCAGAAGTGACCCCTGACCCTTGGTGGGAGTCAGGGACCATGTGTGATGCTACTAGGGATTCAAACCCGGGCTGTGGTCCCCATGGCGTCTAAAGGAAGTGCCTTACTTGCTATATTTTTCTTTTTGGCTCCTAGAATCTGATTTTAAAAATGCTTAGAAACCAGACCCCCAAGAAACCAAACCCATAGTTTTCTATGTAATGTCAGGCTCTCTGTGAAGTCTTAGAGGACCCCAGGTTTGGAACATCCAGCTTGGGCTGGAGAGATGGGTCAGAGGACTGGAGTACATACTCATATGCAGGACACTGATGGCAGATTAGAACCCTGATGCTGTGTGGTCCCCCCTTGAGCACTGTTAGGCATGACCCCAAAGCACAGAACGAGGAGTAACCCCCAAACATTTTCTGGTATGGCCCAACATTCAAAAAGAAAGAAAGAAAAGGAAAGGAATCCTCTGTGTGATGATGAGATGTGGCATAGCTAGAAAGCACATGTGTGTGACCCTGGGCTTAATCCTCAGTTGCCCCCTCTCTCTCCCACCAAAAGTCTCCAATTTGTGTGCATATGTGTGTGTGTAGGTGAGCACATGTGTGTTGTGTGTGCGTGAGTGTATTGCTTGGGGTGCTCCTGGCAATGCTTGAGAGCTTATGGTGGCAGGGATCAAACTGGGGTGAACCAGGTCCAAGGACAGTGCCTTAACCCCACCCCCCTCGACTGTCTCTCCAGTCTCTTTGTCTCCACTTTCATACAGTTGCCTTATTCTTCAAGGCATGCTTTCTGGGCCTGGGGAGACAGTATGACCTGGGTTTGAACCCCAGCACCCCATACGGTCCCCAAAACACTGCCAGGAGTAACCCCTGAGAGCGGAACCTGAAGTAAGCCCTGAACACCACCAAGTGTGTCCCCTGACCCCCCATCCCAAATAAGCGAAGGCCCGCTGTCTTGTTCCAAGTTCCTTATGAGGGGACTAGAGTGATAGTATAGTAGGAAGGGGGTTTGCCTTGCACACGGCTGACTTAGGTTTGGTCCCCAGCATCCCATATGGTCCCGTGAGCACCACTAGGAATGATTCCTAAGTGCAGAGCCAGGAGGAACCCCTGAGCATCACCAAGTGTGACACCAAAAAGTCAAAAACAAAACAAAAAAAAACCCAAGTTCCTTATGAAGGATGAGTCTGCTCAGGGCTGTCTTCCTCTGTCCCCAGAGAGCATGAAGTGTAGGGAAGAAAGAAATTATGGGCTGCATTGAAAAGGCCAAGTGTGGGGCTGGAACAGTAGCACAGTGGGTAGAGCATTTGCCTTGCATGCGGTCTACCCGGGTTCGATCCCCAGCATCCCATATGGTCCCCCGAGCACAGCCAGGAGTAATTCCTGAGTGCAGAGCCAAGAGTAACCCCTGTGCATCGCCAGGTGTGCGGGTTTGACCCCCCCCCCAAAAAAAAGGCAAAGTGATGAAAGAGAAATTAGGATCAGTTACAAAACTTTCCTGTCTCCCAGCAGTTTGAGGTGTTGAACAGAGTTAAGGAGATTCACTCATCAAATATAGACATACACTAAGAGTGCTCGCTTATTAGCCCTTGTGCTTCATGCTAAGTACTGGAAATCCTCCACAACAGAAATCTAGGGCTAGAGCAAATAGCACAGCGGGTAGGGTGTTTTCCTTGCACGCAGCCAACCCGGGTTCGATTCCCAGCATCCCATATGGTCCCCTGAGCACTGGCCAGGGGTAATTCCTGAGTGCATGAGCCAGGAGTAACCCCTGTGCATCGCTGGGTGTGACCCAAAAAAGCAAAAAAAAAAAAAAAAAAAAAAGAAATTTAAAAAACATGGCAACCTTTTTCCTTGTTGGAGCTTGCTGTCTGGTTGACAGTGCGGGGCCTGGGAGAGGAGGGGTCGCTAGGTGCTACTGAGCACACTCTGCCTGAAGGCCTGGGTTCGCCCCCAGCATTGCACGGTGCCCCTCGTAGCCTGCAAGGTGGAGCACCGCCTTGGTGCAATTCTTGGTGGGGTCCAAGAATCCCCAAAACCAACCACATAAAGCCCCAAGGGAGAGTCATCTGGAGGATGGTAAGTGGTCTGGAGGAAACAGCGGACAGGTCTGGTAGAGACAAGCTGGTGTTGATGTTGGACTGTAGCTGTTCCCACGGTGGTCCAGGAAAGTGTCATAAAGGTGAAACTCCCCTGGAAGGCGGAGTATTAGTAGTACAGGGGGGTAAGGTGTTTGCTTTGCCTGCGGCCGACCTGGGCTTGATCTCTGGCATCCCGGCTGGTCCCCTGAGGACCCCCAGGAGTGATCCCTGAGCACAGAGCCAGGAATAAGTCCTGAGCATCACTGGGTGTGACCCCAAGACCAAAAACAAAGGCAAAAACAAATAGTCCCCTGAGTGCAGAGGCCTTGGAGCAAGTGGTGAGGGTGAGGAGGGCCCTGGGGGAGGTCCAGGGCGCCGAGGGCCTCCGGTGGAGCTGGGCGTGTGGGGTCCACCGAGAGGAGAGTGTTTGGTCTGTCCTTGGGCTGAATCGTGACCAATGCTCTCTAGAGATTGTAGAGCCCTCCCCAGAGCACGGGGCCCTGGGCCACCCGGCGGGTAAGTGGCAGAGGTGACACCAGTCCCGGGTTCCCCCAGGATGCTGTGCGGAAGGCAGGGGACAGGCTCGAGGCTTCTCTCGTCCGCAGGTCAGGTCCAGTGCGGGCAGGTGCACTGCCGGCTGCCTTACACCGCGCCCCCGGTCCACCTCAAGGCCGACATGGACGGGCCGCTCTCCAGCCGGGCCGAGAAGGTAACTACAGCCTGCCGGGGTCTAGGGGCTTGAACTGGCCTGCCAGGGTGGGGCTCTGGCTATGGGCCTTGGCGTCCAGCAGGCTCTGGTGGCTTCTGGGCCACTGCTCTCTGCTCAGCACACTCAGAGGCCAGCACGGAGCAACTGAGGCACAGTCGTGGACAAAGCCCAGCCCAAGGCCCCTGGGCACTCCCCCAGCCCCATCAGTGGTGTTGTAGTCACTCTGGTCATGAGGGTCTAGTCACCCCCGGCTGGTGGGTGGAACCAGAGATAAGGAAAGCAGCCCTGAGAGGACCCAGTCTGGAGGGAGAGACAAGACCCTCATCTTGGCTCCCTTATACACATCAGCACGGACCCCCGACACCCCCCCCCCCCCACTTCTTGCTGCTGCTTCTTCCTTTTCCCCACCCTGTCTGTTGGGCGTGGGGCCAGAGTGATAATACAGCGGGTGGGGCGCTCGCCTTGCTTCTGGTCAAACAAGCTTCCATCCCTGACACCCCAAATAGTCCCCTGAACACTTCCAGGAGTGATCCCCGAGTTTAGAGCCAAGATAAGGTCTGAGCATCGATGGATGGGACCCCCCAACATGGAACAAAACTTTCATTTTGAGCTAGGTGAGCCCGGGGGGAAGGCCAGTGACCTGGGCCCCTGGGCGGGTCCCTGTCTGGTTGTTTCAGATACCAGCACTGTACCCTGCAGGCACTCAGAGCCTGTTTCCAAGCCTCAGGACCCCGGCACAGATGAGAGGATGGAGTGGCTCTGGGTGGAAGCTTGGGGTGTGAGGGGAGGACCCCCTTCAGCCCTAGAGGTCTCAGTGAGCTCTGAGTGCCGCTGGTCTGAGACAGCCCCTGGCTTGAGAAGTGTCCCCACTGTGGCCTGGGGGACTTGGGTCTCCGGGCCTGGAGGAGAACCGGGCACTTAGTTATTCCCTTCCCGGATTTGCACCCACGCTGGCTCACCCTGCAGCCCCCGAGTCAGTGTGCGAGAAGGAGAGGAGCAGGGGGACCCGTTCCCAGCCCCAGCAATTCCAGCGCCACTTGGGGGACAGCAGGTCAGGTGAGGGAGCTGGACACGGGGGTGCACTGCTCAGGAGTCGACCCAGAGGATGGCTAGGTAGGGGGCTGCCCGAGCCTGCAGTGCATTGGCTTGGCTGGGTAGGGGGAGCCACCAGGACTGCGGGGCACCCCAAGCTGTGAGCAGAGCCGTGGGTGGAGGATCCCTGTGGGACGGGAGGCGTCTCAGAGACACCCCCTCTGTGGCCCACCTTGAGGCAGGGGGCTCAGGCCTCGTGACAGCAGGAGACAGGACAAGGGCCCACTAAAACACGAGTGGCCTTCAAACTAAAGGGCCCCCCTTGGGGCCAGAGCAATAGCATAGCGAGTAGGGCATTTGCCTTGCATGCAGCTGACCCAGGTTCGATCCGCAGCATCCCATATGGTCCCCCTGGAGAGTAATTCCTGAGTGCAGAGCCAGGAAGTACCCCTGAGCATCGCTGGGTGTGACCCAGAATGCAAACCAACAAACGAAAAAACAACCCTAAAGGACCCCAGTGACGTGTGTGACTGGGGCAAGCCCAGCCCCTGACTGCACACCTAGAACGCGGGGGGCCCAGGGATAACATCCCCCGCTGCCAGGGGACTGCGGTCACTCCCCTCTCGCCCTGCCTCTCAGCTGAGTGCCTGCTGCATGTTGGGCGTGCCCCGGGAGTAGAGGTGAAGCCTTGCTAGACAGAGGGTTCACGGGATCCGGGGGTGCCCTATGCCAGCTCCCTGCAGGGCCAGGCCCAAGGACACCCGCTCTGAAACGCCCAGGAACGCGACCCTGGGGTCAGCAGCCACCTCTGCTCTGATGAATGCTGCTTTGTGGGTATGAGGTGGGCATCCTTGTGGGAAGGAGGAGGAGACCCAGGCTCCCTGGTGACCTGGCCAGTCTGGAGTATAGCCAGTGGCAGGGCTGTGGCAGGGGTGGGGGCGTCTGGAACATCCGCACAGGCCACTCAGCTGGGATGGTGCTGCCTTTTAGGTTCGCGTGCTCTGCCCCCCTCCCCCCACCAAGGGAAACGAGGCCCTGATGAAGCGACAGCGCCCATGGGTGGGGGCGCACCCTGTGTCCGTGAGCAGGGCTGGCCTTCCCGTGGGTGATCCCTGCCTTGGGGCCAGCCTGGCCTTGCTCCTTCCTGTCACACTTGGCCGGTGGTCGGCCTGCTCAGGATTGCTGGCGCAGGGGCTTAGAGCAGCAGCTGTACCCCAGGGGGACAGGGCCACCAGGGCGAGGCAAGAACACCACCTCTGGGGAGCTCTTGGGGACAAGAAGGGCCCTCAGTGGAGAGAAGCGCTCCCTGGAAGAGCCGGCCGAGGAGTCGGCTGCAGGAGCCTGGGGGTGTTCTGCGTGACCTGGGGTAGTGATGGGATCAGGCCCCGTGAGCTGGGCTCTGGGGCGTTACCTGGAGGGCCAGCGGGAGCATGGGAAGAGAATGGGCCCTTGTCCCCGGGAGGTTCAGCTCAGCCGTGTGATGTCCACGGAGGCAGGGTGTGGCCGGGTCGGGCTGCTCTGTCCTGCTGAGCTGTCTCCCAGTCCACCGCCAAGGGCTCCGTGCAAGAGAGCATCTTCCCCTGCGTCCTGGGCTTGTGTCCATCCCCTGTCAGGCTTGTCTGTCTGTCTGCTAACCGGGACCTTTGTCCACATCTGATCAAGCCTGAGTCTGGTGGGCGGTGTGGGCAGTGCAGGTCCTCCGGGCCTGAGCCAGCCTTGCTAAGAGGAGATGCAGGTCCCCAGGTCTGGGCCTGACTGGGCCTGAGACCAGCCTGACCAGGGGAATGGGCCTCTGGGCACTTGGGGGCAGCGCCCCCTACCACCACTACAGCTGTGCCTGGCCACGTCTGTACAGGACTTTCCAGAAGCAGGTTTCAACCTGGCCCTGTCTCAGGAGCTCATGGTGAAAGCATGGGAGGCTGCTGGTCAGGCCCAACAGGGGCGACTGAGGCCCTAGTGCCCCCTCGAGAGACCCTCTCCTCAGCCAGTCCTGCAAATAGTGATGGCTGTGTTGGGGGAGGCGAAGCCGTGAGAGCTCAGGAGTCAGCAGCTCTGGGCCCCGCTCCATGCCTCCTCCTGGGACACACAGGAACTTGGGTCCTTGTGGACAGACCAGGATGTCGGTCCTTCCCACACCCCCACACCCAGCTGAGAGAGGACGCAGTAGCATGTGCAGAGAGCCTCGCCAAGCCAAGGGGTGACTGTGCATAGACAGTGCTTGTGGGTAGGCAGTGCTCCCAGGTGCAGGCAGTGCTCCCCCATGTCAGTAGTGCTCCCATGCACAAACAGTGCTCCCATGCTCATGCAGTGTTCCCAAGCCTAGGCAGTTCTCCCATGGCAGACAGTGCTCCCATGCACGGAGAGTGCTCCCACACACAGGGAGTGCTCCCATTGCATATAGTGCTCCCACATGCAGGTAGTGCTCCTGCAAACAGAGAGTGCTTGTGTGGGCAAGGTTGTGCTCATGTTTAGATGATGCTCTCGCACAGACTGTGCTCCCAGGTGCAGATAGTGCTCTTGCGTCCAGGGAATGCTCCCGCAAAGGGGAGTGCTCCCACGTGCAGTCCCAATTGAGGCAGTGCTCCCACCTGCAGAAAGTGCTCCCTGTGAAAGGCTCCTGTGTGCTCCCGCACGCAGGCAGTGCTCTCGTGTTTAGTGCGCCCACGTTCAGAGTGCTCCCACGTGGAATGCTCCCCATCACAGACAGTGCTGCTTAGCAGTCGGCTTTTCTGATGGTTACCCTCCAGGAGCCCCTCCCTGTGACGCCCCCTCCCTCCTCCTGGGAGCCCACCTGGGCAGATAATGTTCCTGACAAGAACACAGAAGCCCCTCTCCGTGTTCCCAGACCACTTGTTTCTCCTTAACTGGACTAAGATGGACACATCCTCTCATCCACCATGCGCTGCCCCAGGTTTCTGAGACCTGCTGGGGGCTGGCCAGGGCTTTAGGGTACGAGGGAGAGGGCCAGGGGCAAAGACCCCCATACTGTCAGGCTCCTGGCCGAGGGGCCCCCACCGTGTCCAGGAAGCGGTTGCCCTGCTGCCCTCTGTGTCTCAGGGAGGCAGCGGCCAGGCTGTGTCCAGGTGCAGCCAGGGACTGTGGTTTCGTCCTCTCTGGCCTCAGGAGCGTCCCTCCTCAGAGGAGGTAGCCGCGGGGAGTCCCCTACCCGGGAGGCGGAGGCGCAGCTCTTCACCCAGCACCCGTCAGCATCACACAGCCAGTCAGTGACAGAGCCAGGATTTTGTTTTATCTTGGGGAGGGCCACATCCACCAGTGCTCAGGGCTGACTCCTGGCTCAGGGATCACTCTCAGTAGTGCGCAGGGGACCATCAGGGTGGTGGGAACCGAACCCGGGTCAGTCGCATGCAAGGTGAGCGCTTCCCACCCCCACCCCCCGCTGTGTTGTCTCTCTGGCCCAGAACCAGGCTTTGGACTCAGGTCAGGACTCCACACTTCCCCCTGTCTGGACTTCTGGGGATGGGGGCGGGGAGCCATAGGTGGGGGCGGAGGAGTGTGGTCTCCTGTCTCAGTGCTCCTCCTGCCCTCCTCTTGCAGGTCATCCTTTTCCAGTACTAAGGCTGCCGTTGGCACTCCTGCATCTGTCCACGGGCACTCGACAGCTGCCCCTCAGCCACTGAAACCAGGGCCGCAGCCAGGGACCCACCCGCTCCACCTCCACTACGGTTGGCTGGGCTCCCTCCCCCCGCGCCTGGCCTTCCCCTGCCCTGCAGAGAACCAGACCCCAGGAGCAGCGTGGAGCCCCTCACCCCGGGCAGGCCGGAGCTCCCGGAAATTTGGAACCAGGGTGCAAACAACAGCCCCTCCCCTCCCCCTCCAGTGTGCACCGGATCCTGTTGAGTTGTGGGACACGCCGGGCTCCGTCACAGACAGGTTTTCCTCCCTCCCACGTTGGCCTTTATTTACTGATTCCTGGGAACCATCTCTGAATTCCGAGTAGCGGACAACCCCCACCACGCCCCCCCACCCCGTGTTATCCACTCTGCGGCTTTTGTCTGGAAAACTCTGCAGTGTTTGTGGGCTGTCCCCCAAGGAAAGCTGTGCTCTAATTTTATCATTTCCATCTGTCTGGTTCTGTCAAGTTCGTTCCGAGAGAGAAGAAAAACACTGACCGGCCGCAAGAGGCCCGAGAGGGCAGAGAGGGAGCCCTGCCCAGACCAACCAGCGTGCATGCTTGCGTGCGTGCGTGCGTGCGTGCTATGTGGCGGGGGACACGTGGGGTTCGGGCAGGGCGGGGAGGGCCGGAGAGGATTGCCCAGCTGGTGTGGATGTTGAGGCCGCCTGTGTACCCACTCCTTCTCCAGCACAGGCCAGGGATGCTCAGACATGAGGGAGAATGGTGCCAGGGCTTTCTTGAAGGTTGGACCCTGATAGTGGTGCTTAGGTCAGGTCTTCTTGGTGGGGGACCATTCCTGGGGAGATGGGGCAACAGATGGGGGGCTGAGGGGGGAGGGTATGCGGCTGTCAGAGTATTGTGGATTCAGTTGGGGGGTGCCTCTCACCAGGATGAGTGTGTTGAGTCCAAGCCTCTCCATCCCCCGCCCCGGTTCTCCATCCCTGCCAGGGACCATCCTCACCCACACCTTGAATGGGGACCTCGCATACAGTGGCGGTGGGCCCACCTGCCCTTATCCTGCGGCTGCTCTTTCACCCCAAACAGAAGGGCTCAGGGGACAAGTCCACCCATCCTGAGATCAGGTGGCCCCTGACACGCTTCCCCCTGGAGGCTGCTAGTGGGCGCCGTTCGGCCCAGGTCCCGCTCCTGCCTTGGTTACAGCCCTGTTGGATCTGTGGATGTCGGGAGGCTGTCAGGCAGGGGACACGAGTTCCCGATGGGGAGGCCCCTGCGGTCCCTGTGTCGCTCCCCGCCTATGACCCCCGCGCCCTCACGCCCTCACGCTGCACCCCCAAAGCCCCGTGGCCGACATCGCTCAGCCACACTCTCCATCTCAGCCCCGAGCCTGGAGGTGGCTTCAGGATCCAAATGCTGCAGGTGGGCACTGAAAGGAACAATTGTCTGTGACTCTTGCTCGGGGAGCAATCCCAGGGCGGAACCTACTTTCTCTCCCTTCCAAAGGTGGTTCCAGTTGACTCAGGGAGAAGAGAAGGCCCCCTCCCCCCAGAATGGGGTCCGAGCAGCCCTCGGTTGCCAGCTCCCACCCACCACCCCCCCCTGTGGAGACGCAGCCCTGCGCCAGGGACAGCAGCAGAGGAGTGGGTGGGCCTGAGCCCTGGCCGTGGGGACCGCGGGGACCTTGGCGACCACTACTCTTCCCCTTGGTGTGGGCGGGTGAGCCCCCCCACCCCCCAGGGCACCGGGCGCTGCTCCACGCCTGGGTCCTGTGGCCGTAGCATGTGACCGTTCAGACCCATCTCCACTAGCCTGTTAGAGCAGCCTGGGAACACACAGGCCATCCAGCCTATTTATTTAAACACAAAAGGGGAACACACACACACACACACACACACACACACACACACACTCACACTCACATACACACACACAGAAAAGAATTGTAAGCACTTTTTTTGTAAAACCAATGTCTGTTTTGTTACATACCTTTCATGTTGTGCTTTGTAAATGTCTTATTTGTGTAATAAATAAAGTGAATGCGAGTAGAAGTGCTGGCCCTGGATGCAGACCTCTGCGGGGTGCCCCTTCCTCCCCACTGCCCCCCCCCCCATGTCTGGGCTGCCTGCGGCGGCACGGCCCATAAAGCAGAGGCAGGCCCTGTCCTTCCGGAGCTGGGCACTCTGCTGTCCCGCTGTCCCTATCACAACTCTGTCCCCCCCACCCCCACCACCGGGCCCGCTCTGACTCAGGCCTGCTGGGAACAGAGGGGCCGACGATGACAGGGAAAAGGGAAGGCATGAGACGGGGTCCCCCTCACAGGGGTAGGGGTGAAGCAGGGGTGCTGGTGGGTGGGGGCTCAAAGGCGTACTTGGAAGATGTGGGTGTGTGGGATGGGACAGACGAGGGGACTGGGGGGAGGGGAGGAGGGGGGAGGAGTGGGCGAGTGAGGGTCCGGGCAGAGCACATCGTCAGCGCACCCTGGGTTGGTCTTGCAGCTGCTGTGTGCATCTCTGGGGTGGGGAAGCTTTCAGCCACTGGGGGGGCGGGGTTTGTTCAGGCCGGGCTGAGCCCGTGAGGAATGGGGAGCCCTCACCCCCCCACCCCACCCCCAGTACCCTCCAGATTTCTGCTTAGGCCAGGTCATCAGCCCTGCATTTCGTCATTCTCAGGTTCTTCCTGATGCGCTGCTTCTGTGCCCCGCTCGCCGACCCTGCCTTCACCCTCCTGCCCCTGCGCCTCTTTACGAGATGCTCGTGTGGGTGGACGGGTCTCTCTGGCAGCAGTTTCCTCTTGGCCTGTTGTCCTCGTGAAGATGCCCTCTGTCCCCAACCCACTGGTAGGGCACCACCCTCTCATTCTACCCAGTGACTGGCGTCAGGGTGGGGGAGGGGGAGAGGCGACCCTGGGACCCAGTCCTGACACCATCCAGCGCGCCAGACCTGTGCCCACGCCCCATGATGCCCAGAACCTCACCCACGGGCCCCCGGCTTGCAGGTGAGGCACATTCAGCAGGATGAACAGCCTCTAACGAGGGACGTTCATGGGGTCGTGGGGTACAGTGGGTCAGAAGCTGGCCTTGCATGTGACTGACCTCGGTTCAATCCCCGGCATCCCATAGAGCCCCTTGAGCACTGCCGGGAGTGATCTCTGAGTACCGAGTTAGCCTTGAGCACTGCCAAGAGTGGTTCAAAAACAAAAACAAAAACAAAACCCCGGAAGTAAAGAGGGACATTCAAGCGAAGATGCAGACTGCATCTGCTTTTTTGCTGACACCTGTGCTCCTCCAGGGGGAGTAAGGGACAGCCCATCCCAAGCACAGCAGAGATCCAGGTCTGTTTATTTGGGGGCCACATCACACCGAGCTTGGGTGCTCTGTAACTCGGTGCTTGGGAGGTGGTGCCAGCCGGGCCATAGGGGACCGTGTGGTTCCCAGGGAGGCAGAACCAGCACGCCGGCCTTTGCAGCCCCACTCCCCGGCCCACACGTGATTCTCGACACGTCTCGGGCAGACCCCCAGCCTCCTGACCTGTAGGGTCAGACTCCCACGCCACTCTCCTCCCACTTTTGGCCTCCACAGCCCGTCCATGGTAGTGGCAGTGGAGCTAGCTGGGGTTTATAATTTAGGGGTTTTATTTTGGGGTTGGGTTGGGTTGAGGTTACACGTGCCTATGCTCAGGGCTTGACATCTGTGTGTGTGTGTGTGTGTGTGTGTGTGTGTGTGTGTGTGTGTGTAGCTTTTTTCTTTTTTGGTTTTTGGGCCACACCCAGTGATATTCAGGGCTTACTCCTGGCGGTGCTTGGGGGACCATGTGTGGCACTGGGTCAAACCCAGCCCAGCCCCATCCAAGGCAAGTGCCCTGTGCTACCTTTCTGGCCCCTGGAGCTGGGATTTGTTTTCTTAGTTTGTTTTGGTTTTTTTTTTTTATTTTGGCCACACCCAGCAGTGAAGTGAGGGCTGACTCCTGGCTCAGAAATCACTTCTGACAGTGCCCAAGGGGGCCATACGGGGTGCCGGGGATTGAACCCAGATCAGTGGTGTACAAGGCAAGTGTCCTACCCGCTGTGCTATTGCTCCTGCTCCAGGGCTGGGATTTGAACCCAGGTGTGTGGGAGGCCAGAGAGGTGTTCTCTGGTGCTATACCAGGGTGGGGGTGGGTGGGTCATTCAATGACTCGGTGTCATGAGAAAACTGGGCTTTGTTCTCCCACAACGGTGGTTCAGCCTAGGGCCAGGCACAGCCTCTCGGACGCCCAGCTCCTCAAGGATGCTGAACCTTCTCTGACAAGCTGCTGGGAGGAGCAATGAGAATCCACACGTGGCCCGTGGACCACACTTCATGGCTGCTCGTTCAAGGAGCTCTACTCTGACAGGGGCTCAGATTCCATGTGCCTAAGAAATACCCAGAATGCCCTCGGTGACCGGAGAAGCCCTTGTGGAACGGGGCCCCGGGTTCATCCCCAGCCTGGCTTTCCCTGGCCGTTCAGCACCTGCACCCGGGAGGCTCACGGGGCTGAGGGATGCCTTTATTCCCGTGTCAGTCCCGGCTCCACCCCGCGGACGTCCTGAGAGGCCTGCGGCCGCCGTGCTACTCTGTTCACATCTCGGACCAGGTGGGCTTGCTCTCGTCCCAGCCTTTCCGACAGGTGCGGGTGATCCACTCGTGCTCATCGTCATCTGCAAATGAAGAGGGGAGGCTGGTCAGATGGCGAGGGCCACCGGGGCAGGCCTGGCGAAGCCTTCAGAAAGGTCCCTCTGGCCCTTGGGTCCTGCTGCCTCCTTGTCCATCTCCTCCTCCTCCTTTTTACTTTTGATTTTGGGGCCACATGCCCGTGGCGTTTAGGGCGTTTAGGGCTTTCTAGGGTCGCACTGGATGAGATTTTGGGGACCCTCTGGGATGTTGGGGATCAGATCCAGATCTGGGTCGGCCACATACCCGGCAAGCGCCTACCCACTGCCTTATCTCTCCAGCCCCTCCAGTCTCTTGTTTCTTTTTCACTGGGGGCGGGGCTCCCAGCTCTGTCCTTGGGAACTCCTCCCTGCAGTGCTCAGGGGATCACAAGGTGATGGGGATGGAGCCCCAGGCCTCCTTCATGCAAAGCCTGTGCATAAGAGTGCTCCCTGACCCTGGGCTGGCTCTCTCTTTCTTTTTTTCTTTCTTTCCTTCCTTCTTTCCTTCCTTCCCTTCCTCCCTCCCTCCCTTCGGGGCAGGGGGCCTGGCAGAGGGCTGGTATGGGGCTGTGCCCAGAATGGGTTTCACTCCACAGTCTCCCTCCCTCCCTGCCTCTCTCTTCTCTCTCTCCCTCCTTCCTTCCTTCCTTCCTTCCTTCCTTCCTTCCTTCCTTCCTTCCTTTCTCTCCTGACCCTGCACTTAGAATCACACTGGATGAGATTTTTTTTTGGGGGGGGGAGGGACATACCCAGCAGTGCTCAAGGGTGACTCCTACCTCTGTGCTCAGAAATCATGCCTGCTGGGGCTAGAAGGACCAAATGGGATGCTGGGGATGGAACCCGGGTCAGCCGTGGGAACCCGGCCCTCCATGCTGCACTGTCTCTCCAACCCCTGGCCCTGGGTTTTTCACCCTTGATCTTCAGAAAACCAGTGGGAGCTGACCCCCTTTATTTTCTTAGGTTCTTTCTGAGGGTGGTGGAGGGGAGCTGATTTTGGGGCCAGGGTCCCTGATGTCTGTCCGGCTCTCCCCACGGTTGTTTTTCTTTTTTTTTTTTACTTTTTTGGGTCACACCCAGCGATGCACAGGGGTTACTCCTGGCTCATGCACTCAGGAATCACTCCTGGATGTGTTCAAGGGACCATATGGGATGCTGGGAATTGAACCCGGGTCGGCCTCGTGCCAGGCAAATGCCGTACCCGCTGTGCTATCGCTCACCCCACAGTTGTTCCATGACACATCTGGGCATGCAGACCCCCAGGGAGGGGGGCACCAGGGGCAGGGCGGGGTGGGGTGAGTCGTGGACCAGCCCGATGGCTGTCTGCCTGCAGGGCTGGACTGTTTTTCTCAGCCTCAGAGACTGTGGAGTGAAATCCATTCTGGGCACAGCCCCACGCCAGCCCTCTGCCAGGCCCCCTGCCCGCAGGCTGCCTTTTGTACTTCCCCTTTATCCCCCGCCCCCGCCATCCCCCTACCAGCGTGAGGACCCACCACAAGGACCCACTCCAACAGTGGGGTCCGGACCCCTGAGTGTGCAGGCGGCTCTGGCGGGCCCGTCCTGCTGTTTTGTGGGAGAATGTGGTTTCAATTTCCACCGGGGGCCTGGCGCTGGGAGTCGCGCTGTGTCCTGCCTCGCGGGTCTGGGCTGGTGGCTCCCTGCCCACCTACTTCTCTGCCGCACCCCCGCGGGCTCCTGCCATGCTCCACACTCCCTCCTCCCCGGGAGGGGGGGAACTGCCGGGTGACCCCCCTTGTTTCCAGAACTTTGTGGGTTTGTGGGGGGAACATGGCTCAGGTTCTGTTCCCGGAGGAGGGTCGCAAGTCCTACCCCGGGACCCCCACCTATGTCTGCCCTGTTCTTGCCATCCTAGCAGGGTCTCTGGGGCAAGGACGACTAGCCCCCGGCCCTGCCCCCAGGCTTCTGTCCTCAGGGGCTCTAGGTGGGCCCACTGAAGGGAGCCCTGCCCAAGAGCTGGAGGGCCAGCCCCAGGCTCCCTCCAACTTATTCAAATCAGAGCCCCCACCCCCCACTACCACTCCATTTCCAGGCCCCCTGCTTTGTCTCCTGAGAAAGTTCCAGACCAGGCACCAGCAGAAAGGTCTTTGCACACCCCAGTCCGTGTAAAGGACCGGGAGCAAAGGGAGGAGTTTTCCTGGGGGGAAGAAGGGCTGTGTGCGCAAGGGGGCACATCTGGCAGAGCTCAGGGGGCTCACCTAGTAGTGCTCAGGGCTTCCAGCCGTGTGTCCGGGGGGCTCACCTGGCAGTGCTCAGGGGACCACATAGAGGATGGAAACGGGATCCGCTGCATGCAAGACAAGCACCATAGCCCCTGTGGTGTCTCTCCAGCCTTGGGGAGCTGGGATCACCCTCATTTCCTAGAGAGGACCAGCTTCGCCCCAGGTCCGAATGGGTGGAATTCAAACTGGGCCTGCCAGGTCAGGGGGCCTGACTTCAGGGAGGGCTGGAGACGAGGCGGTTGCCCCAAGAGTGAGTCCGGCCTCCTCCTGCTTACCTGCACCCCTACTATGTTGTTTAAATTCCATTTTATTTTTGGGAGTTGGGGGCCACACCTGGCAACGCTCAAGTCTGACTCCTACCTCTGTGCTCTGTTCTCAGGGATCACTCCTGGCAGGCAGGGCTCAGGGACCCTGTGGGGGTGCTGAGGGATCTAACTGGGGAGGTTGGCAAGGTAAGCGTCCTCCAGGGGGCTGTGCTACCTCTCTGACCCTCCCCTGCTCTTTCTTTATACCTCAGGAATGTGGCTCTGGCCTTTGAGGTCTGTCTCCAAGGCAGCCAGTGAGCGAGCCTCAGTTTCCCCTGGAGAGAGGTTGTCTGGGACTCAGCGGTGGGGGTGGGTGGGTTGCGGCTCCCCCAACCACCACTGCCGCCCCCCCCCCAGGAGCGTGGGGATGCGGGGGTGGGGAGGGGGAGAGCCTTGGCACACAAGGAGTTAAGCGCAGGCAAAGCCCACTTTTGCCACACGGCGAGCAGCCTGGCTGATAATTACAGTTCTGAAGTCTCCGGCGAGGCAGTCAAGGCAGCTGCAACCTCTTCAGCGCTAACCCCTGAAACCAGCCAGACTCGGTTTATTGTGCTGCGCCCGTCCTGGGCCCCTCCCCGACCGTCCCAGATTGACAGCCTTGGACTTAACAGCCCTCTTCACTCCCCCTTTCGCTCTCTACCTGGCGGCACAGCCCCCCAATTTGAATCACAGATGCCGCCCCTGGCAGCTGCTCCCCGCCCCACCCCTCCCATCCCCTCCCCACCTCCCGTTCTTGCCGAGGTTGAGGAGGGGGGGTCCTCTCACCGCCCCCGCTAGGGCGCCCCTGGCCCTACCCACGCCAGGGCGAGGCGGCAGCAGCGGCACATTTCATCAATATTTAAAATGGAATTAAACCTGCCGCTTTGATTAATGCCTCCCAGATCCCGGCAGTTGTGATTACTATTTTGCAAATTGCGATTGTTGGAATATGTTAATATGATTGTCTGAGAACATCTTCACCTTCTCCCATCATTTCTCGCCACCCCCCCCTCCATTTTTGGCAGGAGGGGAGAGGCGGGAGAGTGTTGGGAGTGGGGGGGGGGCTGGCTGGGGACCTGGTGGAAGAAAGCACTCCTATAAACTCTTTAATCAATTGTAAATTATTACCCTGGGCACAACTGCCCGTGGTTCAGAGGGAGGAAAGGAAAAGGGATTTCTGGTTTGGTGCATTTATCTTGGAAAAGTTTGGGGCCAGCCTGAGCTCGGCAATTCTGCTGGGGTGAGATGGTGAGGGAGCTGCCTCAGGGACTGTTAGGAAGCGAGAAATGGGAAAGAGTTTGCCTTTCTGAAACAAAAGAAAAGGAGTACTTGCCATATATGCATTCACATGACAAAAAAAATTTTTTTTTTCCTTTTTGGGACACACCCGGCGATGCACAAGGGTTACTCCTGGCTCATGCACTCAGAAATTACTCCTGGCGGTGCTTGGGGGACCATATGGGATGCTGGGAATCAAACCCAGGTCGGCCATGTGCAAGGCAAAATGCCCTACCCGCTGTGTTATCACTCCAACCCCAGACAAATAATTTTTAAATACCCACCATGTGCCAAGCAATGGCAAAGTGGGAGAATCTGTTCGCCAATATTTAGCAGCTTTGGGGCCGGAGAGATAGGACTTTTGCCTTGCATGTGGTGGACATGGGTTCGATCCCCAGCATCACAGATGGTCCCCCAGAGCACTGCCAGGAGTAATTCCTCAGAGCAGAGCTAGGAGTAACCCCTGAGAATCACCAGGTGTGATCCAAAAAGCCAAAAAAAATTTAGCAGCTTTTTTGGGGAAATGGTTATGAAGACTGTACAAATGTTTCTGATACTTTTTTTTCTTTTTTTTGGTGGTGGGGGGTATGTTGAGCACATCTGGCTATGCTCAGGGATCACTCCTGACTCTGTGCTTAGAAATCACTCCTGGCTGTGCTCGAGGAATCCTTTGGGGTGCTGGGATCCAACCAGGGTCTTCGTGCAGGACAAGTACCTAATCCACTGCACTCTGGCTCCTGCTACAATTTTTTTTTTGTTTCTTGTTTTTTTTTTCTACAGCTCTTTTTTTTTAAGGTGGGAAGAGGTAAGAAACGGCAAGCACATACAGTGTAATCTCTGTCAAGTTCATGTACAGAAGAAAAAATGGAAAGATGCTAAAAGGAAAATGTGAGGTCTTGACTGTGGGAGGAGAGAGGTGCTTGTGATTTTTGGTGTTTCCCAATACTATCTTAATATGTATCAGTCACAGAAAACATTTCGCTGGCTCCCCACCCCTGTGGTTGGGTCATTTCCTATTTTTTATTAATTAAAAAAATAGAGGGGTTGGAGTGATAATACAGCAGATAGGGCGTTTGCCTTCCACACGGCCGACCCGGATTCGAGTCCCAGCATCCCATATGGTCCCCCGAGCACCGCCAGGAGTAATTCCTGAGTGCATGAGCCAGGAGGAACCCCTGAGCATCTCCGGGTGTTACGCAAAAAGCAA